TTCTATTTTGCTTTCAAAACACAATAAATTTCCTCTACGACCGAAACACAATTTGTGACTTGCAGTTTCCTAAACAATTTCAATAAATGTTCAATAAACCCAAGTGATTGCGCTTTGGCATCGCCGAGAACATATGTGTGTATGCAAGTGCTTCGCCGGCTGTAAGCATCCAAACAGATCATAAATATTTTTGCCAGCGTCGCCATTGTTTCAATAATTCCTAAGTGCCAACAAGAGAAATTCGGACCTTTTTCGCACACACTCACTCAGAGAAAGAAAACAAAGTTCCGAAATGCTTGGCTGCTTTTACACTCACTTATACTTGCTTATAAATTCTGTTCACGCATTTCTACTCTTAGCATTGTTTTAAAGAGGCCTCTAGAAGCATGGAATATAGCAGCTGTGAAGCTTTATACAAATTCATGTGAGCATTTTATGCCATATATGAATATACTAAATAATATAAATGAAACAAAAATGAAACTGAAAATGGGAAAACACGTTTACGAAGCCAAAGGTGCATTCAAAATAATACTTTCGCTTATTTTCCCACATTTTAAGACCATAATGTCCTAAGCAAATATTTACTTTAAAAGCTTACCTTAATAGTGTGTTTTCGCCACTGGGACTCCGATTTCTCTAAATACACTCGTGGCCACGAAAACCTTACCACTATAGTTTCTTTTTTTTAGCTTTTCTGTGTTTATAGAAAAGCGGCCGAGCGGTTTTCAAAGTGATACACCTACTAAACTTCGTGTTTCTATTAAAAAAAATAAATAAAATAAAATATTAATTTCAAATTTAGCGTAAATGAAATGAAGTTAAAAAAATAAAATATATCACTTTTTCATCGCATGTCAGTATATTACATTTCGAGCTCATTTTGTAAAGCTCACTAAGTTTCAATTGATTTTGTCTATAGTTGAATTCGTTTTGGTTTTAATTTTTAATATTTTTAATTAATAATATGTAATTAACTTATTTCTAAATAACAAAATTTCTATGCCGCAAAAAGTTGCGCTATAAAATGTAGTCAAGTATGCACAATACTTGAAAATTTTGAGTGGTAAGGTTTGCGTGGCCACGAGTGTAGATATCGTCAATTCCACAATGCACGTTCAACCACTGCAAGTAAGGAACTTTAAAACTCCTAATGGTAAAAAACTATAAAAAGAACACTTTCTAATTAAAGTCGACTAGAGCCGCCATATGATTCTGTAAAATTCCACCGTAACCGTTTGCTGCCACCAACAGCTGCTGAGCTGCCTTCATCACATTCATAGCCCACTTGTGTGGTAAACAGGACCATGCCGTTCCAAGAAACTTAAGTTATGTGGCACTAACTACGAACAATTAAAAGTCCCATTGCATAACAAAACCAAAGAGAGATAGAGAGGAAAAGAGATAGAAAGAAAAAGAAGGGAAAAAACAAAAATATATTGGCAAATTACTTTAGAAAGGAATTTTCACACAAATTTCCATAATCGGCAAATTAAATATAATTAATTTAGGAAGAAAGGGGTCGAGAGATTGCTAGAGCTTTCGATTGTCGTGTTAATTGCCCACATACATACATACATACATACGTATAAAAGAATAATGAATAGTTCACCAAACAGTAGCACACCTAGACCTTTTCCTAAACATATTTATATAAGTACACATACGTTCCAGCAAATTGGAGTGCATTTAATTTCAAATCCTGCAAGTGAGCTGGAAGTAGTAAAACTAATTTAGTTTTCTTACCCCAGACATAAATGCTGACAAAAAAGTGCCGGAAAATTTAAAGAAACACAAAAGCTTTATTATTCATCAATATTTATTTTAACGCCTTCAAAGTAATTCTCAAGAGATGTAATACACTTATGCCAACGATTTGCCCGGTCCTTGAAAAACTTTTCATAAGCAGTTTTTAGGTTGGCATTCAGCTTATTCAGCGAATTTTGTTTTATCTCTTCGAAGATAAAACCGGGTTCTACGGAGCGGCAATTTCAGTTGGAGGAATAAGAAACAATCACACGGAGCCAAATCTCCGAAATACGGTGGATGATCGATGTAATTCATTGTGTTTTTGGCTTTAAATTCGGTAACAATCATGGCTCGATGCTGTTGGTGCATTATCAACACAGCAATATAGATCTCCCTATTGACCGCATGTCCTTCCGGAACAAATTTCTGATGCACCAAACGACGGATATCGAGAAACAATGAGCACTCCTTGATTTTTGAGAGGCTTCGGCGTAGTTTCTCCTCCATTGCGATGATTGTTGACTTGTTTGCAGGTCAAACTCATGAACCCATATCACATCGGTATTTCACAAAACACAAAATATCCACCAAGATCATTCAAACGGACTCGCGAAAGACGTCGAACTCTCTTGGTTCTCTTGCTGATGATTTTCTAACACCATATCCTTCATTTTTTTTTAATGTTTTCATCACTTGAAAAGGTCGTACAAAACGAGGCAGGTCTTTGACGATCTCTCGACCATTTTTGAAAGCTTTGTACCACTTTTGGGCTTTTATTTTTGAACCACGACAAGCCATTTCCAATATTCGCAATGATTCCGCACACGATATTTGGTTAAAAATTTGAAACAAATTTTTTGTTCGATATTTTTTTCATTGTGATGATCGCAACGCACTACTGAGATGTACCGATTTAAGCAACTGCTGTAAGCAAACTGATTGGCAGATTGTGCTCATTTTTGGCATAGTAATTAAAGACATCTTAGCAAAATACATTTAACTTAACCGGGGAATTTAATTACAATTACCGGACGATTTTTTGTCACAATGTATATACTACATTTAGTTGCGTGTGTGTTCGCCTTTTTTTTTTTTTTTGACTACTAAGACAAGTCCCCACCCCTTTGGTTCCACACATGCTTATGTTTTTTTAGCGGATAGTAAACTTTGCTAAATTATGTACACTTATGCAGCTAAGCTGACAGATACTTAAGCTAAATTGCGGCCAAAGGTGTTGTGGGACTCTCACATGCCAACAACTAACTGAAGCGCTCACTCCAGTAGTCTTTTATTAAAGTCGCATACATTTGGAGCTATATAAATTTATTATTTACAGCTAAGTTCTTATTATATGCAATAAAAATGTAAAATTTATTTTATCCAATTTGACGAAATAATTTTGTGTAAAGCTCTATCTGGGAGCTTCAATAAAGACCATCTTAACTGAGAGTATTTTATTTATTTTTAAAAACTATATATTTTTTCTGATTAACAAACTCCCTGAACAACAAATCTCTTCTGATAGAGATAACAACTTTTACTATTTCAAAACATCGTAATCAAATTTTTGTCTAACTGTTCGTATAATTTTACTGTGATATGTATTGTTGACATTGTTTTAAAACCTTATTCGTAAAATACTTCCGATTTAATGTGAATGCTTACTTTAGTTATTTAAATAAATTTGGCTTTTAAGTCATTAGTACTATTTTAAGAATTCAGTTGGAGAAAATATATAGCAAAATATTACTTAGCATTGTGAGTAGTGATTTCTTGCCGGGTGCAAGTGCGTGTTTTCTTCGTAAAATTTATCATGTCATAAGTGCGACTTTCCGCCATTACACGCATTAGTGCACTTCCGCATTTGTCAACA